AAGTGAGCTCCGATTCCAGTATCTCCTCATCTCCTCTTCCTCTTTGCGAGGGCAGATCAAACTCGTCAGATCGGAAGTACTGCACAATACCCAGCCCCGACCAACATAGCTCAAGCCTTCCCACATTCCCCTCATTTACAGGCGAGATGAGTCGCGTCGTCCTCTTGCAAACAGTCCTCAGCGAGAGAACGTTTCCTGGTAGTGGCTAACTCGAGGAGTAGCGATAAGCACAGAAGCTACACGCGATCTGAGCCAAAAGGCCACTACATGACTCCTAGAAACCGTGAGGTTGGGAGAGAACATGTGTAAAATAAAAACTCTTAACCATCTGTTATATTTTTCCATCTCTTTGTGTGTAGTTTCTCGTGAGGCCCACAAACTACAAAACAACAACACTATAGACAGAGGCTGTAGACAAATGGAACCTTGGATGCGATTTGGTGAAGCAGACCCACCCGCCACCACCGATTCTCACTCGCTCACCAAAGCAGAACTGCACCTTTCTGTTCAACAGGCATATCTGAACGCCGGGATTCACGATGCGGGTTTGATCTCGCCCTGGAGACGACTGCAAAACAGAAACGGCCTGAAGATTTCCACCGCACCTTTGTCTGGAGGCAAACATTTCTTTGGGTTGCAGAGCTAACACCGAAGAGATTTTAACCGAATGTGCCGGCCGTCCCACTCACACACCCGCCACGTGCAGTGTCCCTCGGGGGCTCTGTCCTCGATCTTTGCTTTAATATTTATATGCCCTCGCTCAGCCATGTTATCCTCAGGCATGGGGTTAAGTTCCATATGTATGTGGATGCCACTCAACTCTCTCTCTCTGCCTCCACACTCGATTCCAGGACAACTGCTGTTCTGACTTGACTGCCTTTTGCATATATTCTCAACATGTTGTCAATATCTTCTAACCTCAGACGTTGACAACATCAAGCTAAATGGAGGCAGACTCCATCTCACGGAGCCCATGCGAAACCTTGTTTAAATCTCAGCTGGCCTTTAAACCCCACACCGCGTCTTGGCCTGTTCAGCTTACCCCCATCTCTGCATCGTTACCCATCTCTGCTGCTACCTCTCCCCTCGGTGTCCCCTCTGGATTCCGGCAGCTCAGTGGTTTGAGCGCTCGCCTCGCAAACGAGAGACACGCGTTCATTCCCGGGCGGGGGGGGGGGAAACGTTGGGCAAGTTTCCTTACTCCACACGCCTGTTTATCCAGCAGTGAGTAGGAACCCGGGTGCTAGTCAATTGGTAGATTGCTTTGCCGAGGGTAATAATTCCTTAAAAAAAATAATACATCGGTGACTCAATCCTCAACTGTTTTTGGGACGCTGCTGTGCGCAATTGGCCGCCTATTTTCGACCACAAACTATTCAATAAATGCACTTTACATTATATTCTGTGAAGCTCTTTGGGACATCTCGAAGATGTGATAAAGCGCTATATCAAATGTAAAGATGATTATTATTATAACAAGACCCTTGTCCATGCTTTTATCACGTCCAGGTTTCACTACACCGACTCTCTGCTTGTCGGATTTGCCAGCCCTTCCCTCCGCAAGCTGCATCCCATCCAGAATTCTGCAGCCCATATACTCTCTTATACTCAGCTCCACGAGCTTGTAAGCCCCATCCTTGCCTGGTCCCCCAAATCCCAGAAAATTGAGTTCAAGAGCCCCATCCGCACTTTTAAAGCCCTCCACAGTCTTGGCCCACAGAAGGGCATTATATAAATACAATGTGTGGCTGGACATGAGAATATAGCAAACACATACTGCAGGAATCAGTACAGTCAATTTTTAAGTGCTCCGAGACACTACCCCTCGTGAAGGGCGATCGATTGACACAAATCGTTGCTGTTGAGAATGAGACCACAACCAAGTAATTTTACAATCGCTAACTCAATTTATTTTCATAAGCTACATTTTCAAATTAGACAGTTTTGCATTGTATGACACAAAGAAAAAATTAAATTACCAATAGTTTACAAGTCAGCTTGATTCCAGTTTTTATCGAAGCATTTAAGACAAAAACAAAAACCCTCAATGCTTCCAATAGGTTTCTATTCCAAAGCAGATTCTGCCATTACCTCCCCTTAAATCCTCAATTGTCCACTGCTGTTAGTGTAATTGGTTTTTACGGTGCACAAAAAATTAAAATGCAGCAAGCTAAAGTAAAGGCACCTGCTGCTTAATAAACGGCACAACACTCTAGACAGACAAAAGGGGTTGTTATGATCGGCTGCAACAGAGTCAACACGTAAAACAGATTGGTGACATTTCAATCGGATAGTGTGGTTGCGGTATTCACAATACATTGTGGCATTTGATATCCGTGTGTGATTTTACTGAGGTGCAACATAAAACACAAGCAGCTAGCGTCCGCTGGCAGAATTAATAATTTTCAGTGCTTTTTTTTTATTAACCGAATTGCTTCATTTGTTCTGCTCATGTCAATTGATGGTGGTGGTGGTGGCTCTCTGCACAGCCAGCTTCAGCAGTCGGATACAAGATTAAATACACCGCTTTTCATAAATCACCTGCTGCAGTTATTGAAATACAGAAGATGTCACTGAAATCTTTCAATCCGGGTGCGATCAAAAGTTCAGAGGTCCATTAACAGTAACCAAAGCAACTGTGCCCTTCACCAAAAAACAGCAAACTAATATAAACGTGCAGCTCACAGTTATAGCCGGATGCCGAACACAACACAAGAAAGCTTTTATCAGTTGGCTACAACAAAGAATTAGTTGTGCGATCAGCAGCTCACAATGGATGCAACTATTGATCACCAAACTTGCGGGCAGCCAAGCAAAATTAACCCACGGCTGACTCAAATCCAATACAAGTCGTCAAAACAGCTGTACGCACTGGCAACAGGGGAAAAGAGAAAGCTTAGAAAAGAATGCAATGGCACAACTGCTTTAGTATTTTCTATCATTCAACTACTTTTTTTTAATATTTTTAGTTCATACATAATTCTATCCTGCTTGACAAGTGTGCATTTTTATAGTTTCCTGAGATGTTAATTAAGTTTTAAAAGTAATGTAAATTAACAGGGTAACGTTTTGGTACCTGTTCGTTTGTGACTAGTTTTTTTTTTTAATTCGGGAGGTGGGGTGATGGGGTGGGGTGGTGGTGGGGGGGTGTGTGGGGTGGAGGAGAAAGTAGAGGAAGGAGGAGAGAGGGAAGGAAATAATGAAAAATATTGTACTACTGCTCGAAAATAAGCATTTTCACAAATTTCCCCTTCTGCAGTGAGGGCAGGGTCAGTTCAGCACACCAGAGGAAAGAAAGAAATATTCAGAGACTACAACACTTTTTTTTCTACGCCCAGCTCAACATTGAGGATATACCAACAATATCAATATTTTTATATCAGTTTTTTTTAAAGGTACCTTTTATATGTTCTGATTATTTACATCTGTACAAGCAAAGCACACACTTCCAAGTGCACACGTTTAATACAGTATCGACTATCTGCATTTACAGGGTTTTAAACAATCTGAAAAAAAGGTTCCAACTTTTAAGATCTGCCATAAATTATATTACAAAAAAAATGCCATTTACTGCTAGTTCTTACACATCGCATTTACCCAGTAAGACTAGTGACAGTAGGTATAACTAATAGTATATCTTGCCCCATTCCAACCCTCTGTGGTCAGTTGCAGCAACATCTAAATCTCTCTCATACAAAAGTTAAGGCAAAGTCATTTTTTCAAGTTTAAAAATGAAATTCAAGTTTCTCCTTTTGACACTGGATGGAAATAAAATTCACTGCATGAAAAGAACAGCTGTTGAAATAATACCCTTTATGGAATAACGATTACCTATTTTATCCTATGACCAGTGGGTTTCTGCCCAGTGCTGCGGTGCATATCTTAAAGCAGCACATTAAGTCTGGCTTACCATGACCACAGCCATAGGAACAATTGGGAGCATTTTTGTTTTAAAGAAAAGCCAATACTTTCTTCCTTTTTCGAACAAAAAAAAAAGCATTCACGCATCACCTGCAACATTAGAAGCTCGCACACTTCTGCCTCAAAACTCTCTGAAACTTAGAGCAACTAATAGAACATTGCACGCAACACTGATGAATCTCTATAAGGGGGAAAAAATAACCAGGAGACAATACCACTGTGTGAAAATTTGGGGGCGATTCCACTCCGAACTCTGATTCTCACCCCGTCTCAAGTACTCTACGATGTACCAGATTCTAGGAAGACGCCAACAGTGTGCTGACTTGAGAGCTTCACTTTTTTTTGTCAAAAAAAAAAGAAAAAGCACTTGGAAACGGAGCAATAAAAAAAAATAACAAGTGCAGTCACCTACCTTAGAGCACAGAGGTACATAATAAACCAGTCTTTTTCACAGCCACTCAATCACTATGTGTTCCACGGACAGGAGCCCCTCCCTTATCAAGAAAAAAATAACTTTGCCATTAAAAGTAAACTTGTAAACATCGAGACCAATGGCAACCTACCTAAAACAAAGAGGAAAAAACTACAAAGCTTTTTTTTCTGTTAAATTTACCACTACATTACTCCCATCACAACCCACTAATACCCAAAGGGTATGAAATCTGACACTGTTTCAAGCCGCTATTCTCTCAGTAAAGCAACTTTTTTTTTATTTTAAAAAAAACGTTGGCATTCATGGGGTCACCATAACTTGTGATAAAATACATTTGTGGGACAGAAAGCTACCTTCAACGCTGTTCAACACCACAAGATTGCTACCGATGCCTGCTGTTCCCCAATTTTATCCGTGTAGATATGGTAAATAAACCATACTGTGAACAAGACAATTCTAGCCCACGGCATAACATTTGCGCTAGTTTGTCGATTTACTTTGATTGCCTCCCTCCCCGTCATCAAAGGGGCAAAAAATCCGATTCCCAATCTGTAAGTGAGCGAGAGATTAAATTACAGTAGACATCACACATTTCACCAAATACTGAAAAATGGCAGCCCACAGCAAGTAGTTTTTTTTTTTACACACACACACACACACACTCCCATTACAAAAAGTGCCCTTTGTTGCTCACAAGACCTTTTCCAGAAACCCATCATTTCAACAACCTCTGTGCTCTGATTGGGGACTTTGAGGGAGGGGAGGGAGTGGTGGTGGGGGGAGTGTGAGGGAGATTACGTTTGAACAAACCAGACCCTTAAATCAACCACCTGTGTCCGGGAACTTCAATTGGGTGACTTTGGGGGAGTGTGTTGCTCTTTATTTATCCGCTTGTTGGTGCCCTGAGGGGGTGTTCTACGCCCCGATTGTCTTCGCTGGTCTCGAGGCTTCCCTGGGTTTCCCTTTCCAGTGGGTGGCTCTTTATTTTTCGCCTCGGCTTTCTCTCCTGGATTTTCAGGAGCTTTTTTGTCGTCTTTGTTGACCGCTGCAGTGTTAGGCTTCTGCTCCTTCGGGGGCTGTAGTGTAGGAGATTCTTTTGCACTTCTCTGGCAAATCTCTGCATAACTGGGTTTTCGGAGCTCCTGTGGAGACGGACATTCAGATAGAAAACGAAATCAATGCCAAGGAAAATAGTTTGCAATTATACAGCAGTTTTGGTGCCATTTGAATCCGTTTGGATTGATGAGTGAGCCCTGCGCTGGCATGTTGCATTTACAATTAAATGTTGGTTCTCCGCAGAACTATTTTGCAATTCTGCTTTTTTCACACTGGGCTCCACTGGGGAAGTAAATGCTGAGCTGCAAGATACTGGGAAAAAGATGCAGCTGTCCACACATACTCAAGGTTACAAGGAATACAATCTAGTTGTGCAGTTTCCAATAACAGCGCAACTTTGCTCACATGCACAATTCAATTCTTTTTGCCCGTTGCACAAAGGTAGTTCTTTATCCGGGAGCATTTTTGTAAGATTAAAGTCAGAAAGGTAGAGATAAATACACTGAGAATAATTGAGAGGCAGAGAAGCAGCACACCTTCATGACTGTTTAACGTCGTAAAACCTTTCTTATTTAGCAAAACATCCAATCTGTTTTTCGTACGACATTCAATTATCTACACTGATTTGCTATTTCGCAATGACAAACGGTCCAAACAGTGTGGATAATCGGGTCTCTGAATGTGTTTGAATGTGCGTTCCCCAGTTTAATCAGTCAAACTATGGTAAATGCAATACAACACACATAGATAATCCAACTACCAAAGAGGTACTGGCAGAGCAGAGCAAGCCTCAGTGCGATAAGATTACAAGAGGTATTACACACAAGACCACCAAAACTTTACACTGAGGGCGATTCTGTTGCGAGGTTGAAACGTGGTAACAGAACTCTAGCAACTGGTACAGTTTCAGTTAGAGTGGGAAAAATGCATTTATTTTGCTTCAGGTTAAAGAAACTGCCATTCCTCCATCTTCAAGATCGTTTCAATGATTTCATACAAAACTGCCTCCTTCTCCCCCCCGCAATACACTTACCGTGGCCGCTCCATTCACTTGCACAGATTTACTTGCTGTGGTTAGAGGCGTAGTCAGTCTTTCCGAAGGAGTCTGTGTTTCTCTTTGCTTGGTTTCTTGGCTCTTAACTTCACTGCAGAGCAAAGTTCGATCTGATTAATTTCTACATTCGCTGTGCACAAAGCCACAAGTGTAACCTTACATCACGTAAGTTTCCTAAAATTAGCTTTTAACACCAAAGGAGCTTCTGCTTATCCAATCCAGCAGGAGCCATATTTGATCCCTATAAACTGAAACCCATTTATTCATCTTCTCGACGGTTCTGCAATGCTTATAGCAATGTCATATGTTCGCTTGTGCCCCAATCGTTGAATCTTGGCACTTCTGTACAAATGCTTTTCATTACGTAATTGGATCGCTACTGCGCAGATCCAAGGGGATACGCAACTCAGAGATGCAACTCAAAGCAACTTAGTCCCCAAAATTTGGTGACGGAAAATCTAGCCAGTTTACATGAGGCAGGCTCGCCTCAGGAAGCAATCATGAAAATGCAAAAGCAGTAGAAGTTTTTTTCCCATTGTGATCCTGTAATTGCTAAACAACGAATACAAAAATAATAATTATCCTTGCATTTGATACAGTGCTTTTCATGCCTTCAAGACGTCTCAAAGCCTCTTCACAGAATATACTGTAAAGTGAAATGATTGTACACTTCAGGGTGAAACGAGGCAGCCAATTGCGCACAGCAGTGTCCCACAAACAGTCGTGGACTGAAGTGACCAATTTATTATTGTTTTTTTTGGGAAGGAATTACTATCCCTGGAAAAAAGCGATCCGCTAATCGACTAACAACCAGGTTCCTGCTTACTGTGAGGTAAACAGGGGAATGTGGTATAAGGAAACTTGCCCAATATTTTGCCCTGCCCGGGAATAGAAGCCAGGTCTCTCGCTTGCGAGGGAGTGCTCTGACCACTGAGCTACAGGACTCCACATCAGGCAATTGCTTACACAACACTGAAACGCTTCATGAACTTTCTATTTCATAATAATTAAATCTCAAGTTGATGCATCGAGCTTACAAGCATAATAATATTATTATTATTTATTATTATTATTCTTTAGAATTATTTATTCTTTCTTCCTATTGGTTTTATTATTTATTTATTTATCTATTATTTTTTATTCGTTTATTTTATTATTATCCCTTAGAAGCACAGCTCTTCCCTGACCTGACTTGCACAAGTCATTTTCCCGTTTGTATTTTTCCAGACATTACTGGTGGCTTCCAACAGCAAGAAGCAATTTAATGTTTAATTTAAATTATTGGCAGACGAGCCACGAACACACGTCCACTAAAAACCCGGTTGCGTTTCCAAAATATTTTTTCTTGGTGTCAGGAGAATTGGAGCATCCTTTCCACCACCTTATTTCACTGTGTTAGGCTTCCAATGCCATTTTTCTCCCACAGTTTTGAAGAACAAACTTACACACAGCATTGTGACAAATAGTTTTTATGCTGAGCTAAAAACTTGACGGTAATTAGCAGTGTGTACACAATCTAAAGAGGCACAAGACAAAAGATGGCATCAAAAGATTTGTTTGGGTGGAGGTAGGGTTAACTTTGGCCAATGAGACCAACACATCTGCAATTCCAACGCGACAGCGATAATCCCTTCTGATAATAATCCTTTCCAAAAAAAATAAAGATTTAAAATAAATGTGGTCACTCAATCCACGACTGCTTCTGGGACAGCTCCGTGCGCAACTGGCTGGCGCATTTCACCCATAAAATACGCATGTACGATAAGGCACGATATCAAACGAAGTTGATACAGCGCCTCATCATGTCTTTGACGCGTCTCGAAGCGCTTCACAGGATATACTGTAAAGTGAATTGACTGTATGTCTTGCAGTAGAGTGCAAGTTGGCTTATTCGCACTGCACAGCAAGCTGGTTAGTCGGCAGTGGAAACCTGATAACCAGAAGCAGGATCAGTGTGACCTTTATTTCCCACAGACCCATTATATAAATGGGGATAATTTTGTTGTTAACAGGATCGCTTCTACATTCGCAAAATACTTTGGAGTAAGTCCAACCATTTGAGAGTAAGCTGTTTTAACTTGGATATTGAATGTCAATTTAAGTGCAATACCATAACTGATCTGAATGAATCTGTAATTTTTTTGAAGGTGCCATTTTATAAGTCAATAACTTTATAAGTCAATAACTTCAATAACTATTCTTTCAAGTAAATGCATCTCTCAAAGTTTGATCCAATTAAACCACAACATTTAGCTTTTCAGTGGCTATACTTCATGAAAAGTTGGGCCCCATTACACTGTACTTCAGTACATTGTGCATTTCCAACGCCTTGGGACGTCCTCCCAACGTGAAAGGCGCTACACAAATGTGATTTTGTTGGTGTATATAGCATTGGTGCAGTTTGTCAAAGAGCAGTTTTCAAGGTCACTTCAATCCACGACTGTTTGTGGGACACTGTTGTACACAATTGGCTGTTGTGTTTCACCCACAAAATATAACAGTCAATTCACTTTACAGTATATTCTGTGAAGCGCTTTGAAACATCTCGAAGACATGATGAGGCGCTATATCAAATCCAAGGATTATTATTATTATGATGTTGGCAGTGACTTTCCGTAAGTGTCGATTGGCAACCGCTCTGCAACACAGCCCAGTATTTTATGGGTCTGATTTTATGGATCAAACCACCACATTATCACAGAGCCCAATTGGAAAGTTATTTTCAACAAAAAAAAAACTTGGTAGTGGAATTGATGCTTCACAATTTTCAATGGTACCAATTTACTCAGTGAATTGAGCGCAGAATTTACACATTATCAAAATTGAAAACTTTGCACCATATGAACCCACAGGTACTTCAGTCAAATCTCACTGCTCCTTAGAGACAAATAATGATGCAGTCAATTTCACGTTACAAGGATGTCTCAAAGCGCTTCACAGAACCAAACAGACAACGAAAACATTGGGAACAGATGCCATCTGCTGGAATTGTGATCCATTAGAATAAGGAAAATACAACTTCACAATATAAAGAAAGCAGTCTGGAAAGAATAAAACATTTGCCGTTCATTTCTAAAAGAGATAAAGACCTAATGGCAAGGCTCAAATCTCCAACAAATTGCAGGATTCATAGTTTTAGGCATTCAGGTCCTCCGTTCAGTGCACCTTACGTATGATTATTACAAAACCTTGCGGGTTTAAATTCCAGGGCTGTCAGAAAGCTTTGCACCTAAAGCGGATCGAGTTGCTCTCAAATCTATATTTTCAAAAATTCGGCACACTCCTGGTGCATTTCAAAGCTGGAGCAGGAACCCCGGCCAGTGTTCTCCATGTGTAATAGTAACAATCCTTGCATTTGGTATCACATCGTATCACGTCTTTGAGGCGTCTCAAAGCGCTTCACAGAACATACACCAGGAGTTTAAGAATTTACGAATCGTTTCCCACTCTCCATAATATCGGTTGATATTTCACTAATTACCTTTTAAATATTGGACTGCAATTATGCTGCATGGAATTACATAGACTGACATGGCACAAAACAAGCCATTCTGCCCAACTAATCCATGTTGGGGTTTATACTCCACAAGAACCTTCAATCCTCCTAGAGCTCTCTATTCCTTTCTCCCTTGTATATGTATCAAGAGTTTCCTCTTAAATACATCCGATACTTTATTACTTCAAGCACACTTGAAGCGTGTTATTTTAACACTATTGCCGACATTAATGACACAGCGAGGATGTGCATAAAATGAAACTGTTTTGTGCAATTCACACCGATGACTGGAAGAAATTAGAATATTTATTTCACTGACTTGATTTCTGGAGAGCGTGGCGGTGAAGGAGAGCGTTCAGAAGTCGCTGGTACGGCAGGAGACGGTGATGGTAATGGCTCTCGTGGTATTCCCGAAGGTACAGTGTTGGTGCTTGCGTCGACATTTATATTCTAAAACAAAAATGATCAATACTGTAACCTTAATTTTACACAGGTTCAAATACAAAGAAATCAAAATAGAAGTACACAGCCACCCAAAAAAAGTACACAGCCAAAGTCAAGACATTCATTTCATTTTATTTTTGCGAGCACTTCAAATTAATTTATAACTTTTTTTTCCCCACCGAAACACACCTCCCCAATTTGCATTTCAGATCCATTTTTTCACCTCCTCTCCACAGGACAGTTATTCTTCCTCCGGGATCTCTTCCAAATGGACATCTTTCATGGACAGTGTTAAGTTAGGCTTCGACTTCGTGGAGGATTATTAAAAAGCTCCAAACCCGTTCTCTCAAGCCCACATGAGCACAGTTTCTAACATGGGAGACTGAAGAGTCATCAGAAGCAGGAACCCTGGCTGACTGTTTTCCTCTCCTAGCCCTGAGGCCAGTTAGCAGACATCCAACTAAGTTCAGTTCCACGTCAAGCAGTGGTTCACCAATAAGTCAGCAGATTTGTAAGGGATTTAAAGCACTGTGTTCAAGATTACAGCAGCCGTCCAGGCATTTTCTCCTTCTCCCCAAACCACAAAAGAGTAAAAGAGCCTGACGAATCAAAGAACATGCGACTCGCTGAAATAGTTTGCTCCTTCTGCATCCTGCTCAAAATCAAACTTTCCCCCCAAGTGACTCTGCTCTCCAAGTATAAATTGTATACTTAAATAATATAAATAAGTATAAATAATAAATTGGTCATTTTCAATCTACGACTGTTTGTGGGACATTGCTGTGCGCAATTGGCTGCCGCGTTCACCCACAAATATACAGTCAATTCACTTTACAGTGTGTTCTGTGAAGCGCTTTGGGACGTCCTCCCGACGTGAAAAGCACTATATCAAATGCAAGGATTATTATTATTATTATTATTAAAGCTAGGATGGGTGGTAGCAGTGGTGTTCTAATCTGTAGACGCATAGATTTGCTGATATATTTTCTTGCCATCGAAACATGGTGGGTTTTGGGTTTCACTTTGATGTCTTTAAATACAGTATTACTTTAATCACTGCAGCCTCTAAATAATTCTCCTTCTAAAAGCAAAGATCGTAAATTTAAGTACAGCCAACCCAAGGAATCAGTTTTGTTATGCGTGCACATTATAGAATAGAAAACTACAACTGTTGAAACCATTTGATTCATTATACAGGGGGCCTCATTATAACGAGGGCAGAGTTTCAAACTGAACCAGGGAGGAAGCAGGTGACCATAGGTACGGTCAAAGAGGACGGTCTTCAGGTGTGATCTGAGACAGGCAAGGCAGAGGGATTGCGGCAGAGTTCATCATAGTTGAGGGTTCACAAAAGCACAACCAGCTCCCTAATTATTATTATTATTAATCCCTTATTAATGGCCTCAATCTCCGGTCATTCACTGTGCATGTCCATAAAAATATAGCCAGTGCCAACCGTGGAGTCCTGTAGCTCAGTTAGAGCACTCGCTTTGCAAGCGAGAGACCCGGGTTCGATTCCCGGGCAGGGCGAAACATTGGGCAAGTTTCCTCACTCCACGTATCTGTTTACCCAGCAATAAGTAGGCACCCCGTTGTTAGTCGATTGGCAGATTAATTTTCTGGGGTAATAATTCCTTCAAAAAAAATATAATAAATTGGTCACTCAATCCACGACTGTTTGTGGGACGCTGCTGTGCACAATTGGTTGCCGTGTTTCGCCCACAAAATACAGTCAATTTACTTTACAGCATATTCTGGAAGCACTTTGTGAGACGCCTCGAAAATGTGATAAGGCTACAACAAATGCAAGGATTATTATTATTTTATTATTAGAAACAAAATGGCCAACTTCAGTGTCATCAGGTGACCTCGACACTTGCTGCTAATTTTGGGGGATAAGTACATGTCAGAGTCCTTAGATACCAGATCTACAGTGACCACTTAGTATGAGCAGCAGCAAGTGGAAACCAGGCGACGTCCTCAAAGATCCTTGGATGAAAATCACTTTTAACCTGAACTAGCAAGGACATAAATTGTTAAACCACAAACATGCTTTCAGGTGCAGCTCTTTTCTCCGTAAGCCTGAAATGAACCCATCTTTTTAAACAGGCAAGCTTATATTGAAGATTCATCAGTGAAGGCAACAGTCTTGAATCAGTTCAACAAAATCCTTACTCTTAAAAAGACAAATGAATTCCAGTAGCATCCACAGTACCTGCACAATTGGCGTCTTTTCTTTCGAAATCCCTTTTACTATGTTGGACAATCTGGTCTCAAGTATCTGCTCAGTTTTGAGATTGCCTGCCGCTCCAGGCAGAGGAGGAAAGTTGGACAATCCCAGCTCAAAATTGGGAGACGGAGGCTTCGGTGGAGGAGGCGACTGTGTCTGGGGTCTCTGAAAAAGACAATGGATTACTGAAACACGGTCAATTAAATACCCAGGGGGAAACTCTGCCAAGACTAACCGGATTGAAACTCGAGCACTGTGTAACCAGAGAACATACTTTCAAAACATTTTCTGCTCATTCTAACCTTCCAGATGGCATGACAACAAATTACTAGGCAGCATTAGTGATACCAATTACAAACTGCTGCAGCCTCAAAATCTTCACATAAAATAAATTGCATGAAATATCAACAGTTTGACATTTTAAATAAACTCCTTCTAATTTAGTATCACGCCAACTTATACTTGCCACAATGAGATTTTGCTGCTCGGACTCGAGCTCAGAAGAGGGAAGATAAACAAGACAGTTCAGAATTCATTACATTATGCAAAGAATGGTGAAAATACGCAATGAATAACTGGGTGATGAGTGGAGGTAGGCTGGGTCTACAAATACAAGGAGGAATTAAGAGAGGTGTTTGGTGAATAAATCAAATTTTAGAGATTAGATTTTTGTTTGAGGACGTGATTTATAATTAATTTGCGAGCATGATAGCAGAAGTTAGGAAGGCTTTTTTGTTCCTAGAGTGCTCCCAGAAAGATGGAATATGATGGGGGAGGAGGTATTTATAGGGGAATTAGATAAGTAAATGTAGAAGAGAATATGGGAAGGAATAGGAATATTTTTTTTTATTAATATCAAATGGTAACTGCATGATGGCGTGGAAGGCAAAGTGTTAGCGATGGAGGTTTTGGCAAAATACTTAAGTTTCCAGTGGGGGGGAAGGGAGGGAGAGAGAGAGGGAGAGAAGGAAAAGAAATCAAACAGGGCTGTGTTCTGTCACAAAGGCTTTTCACATTGTTCTTTGCAATTATAGCAAATGAGGCCACTTGGAACTTGCTGAAAGGTGCCGCACTATAATCAACTATTCAATTAGGCAATTTGGATTTCTATTGGGGTAATGGAAGGCAGTGGCACACGTTTAGATTTACAATTTTCCACAGAGTAAATTGCCAACTTTTGCAAACGTGCCTACAAAATACAGGCTACACAACATAGCCTGTGAAGCACTTTGAGATGCCCTCCCATTGTGAAAGGTGCAACATCAAATGCAAGGATTAATAAAAGGGTTGAAGCAAACAGGAGCAAGCACATCATGCCTCCTCTCAGACCTCCAAGCCTCTGCAGGAGTGAAGTTGGACATTTCAAGAAAGAGAGCATTTAAAATCAAACCAATCATAAGTGAAAGGTTAAGGTGAACATTTTTTATAAACTAATTGTTCCAATTGTGTAAAGTATTAGAAAATAATAATAATAATCTTGCACTTGCTATAACGCCTTATCATGTCTTCGAGACGTCTCAAAGCACTTCACAGAATATACTATAAAGTGAACTGACTGCAATATTTTGTGGGCGAAACAGGGTGTGGAATAAGAAACTGTTCTGTTTAAATAAACTGAAAACGGTCATAATCCCCTGGAAAATCAACTACCGGCAGATGTTTCATGTCATCATAAACCCCTCTTTGCCCCACCACAACTAATCAGCTAACTGAAAGCTAAGGAACGTAATACTGGTCCGAATCAGTATCTCTGCACATTGACTCTCCATCCTTAATGAGAATATTTAAGCCTTAAACCTCCTCACCATGAACTTGTCTTCCCTTTTCTTCCGATTACCGTACAAATTCTTCCTGAAACACAAAAATGTTTAATCACCCAAAATAATTGACATTCAAACAATCTTAGGACTCCAATCTGTATATTAGTTCATAAGGAATCTCGAAAACATTCTGCTATTTCAGTGCCTTGTGATGTCCTACCGATGTGAAAGGCGCTATACAAATATAAATGTTTTTTCATTCAGCATTACCTCCATTGTTCAGTCCATCTTTAAATCTAGCATTCTATCAACTTGAGTTTCAAAGATAATGGCTAAGCCTTTTGAAATCTGTTCTCAAAGAATTCTAGTTCAAAATCACGATGGAAACATTTTTGAAATTGGCCATTTCAGAATCGGGTGCATTAAAAACGTAAAATTGCTATTGGTACAATACAGTTACGAATCTGAAGTCAACTTCAGAATAGCAAGAAAACGTGCATCAACTGAATGAAAATAATTGTGTTGCAAACAGAGAGGAATTTTAAGAGATTTGCTCGGGTTTTGCATTGAATTTAAATTTTAACTAAATATCTTACCGACTGCCTTGCCGACTATAAAGGCGCTAACCCTCTATTTTAAATATTCAACTACAGTATATTTTCAGGCCGACCTTTCGCGGATGACCTGATGTTTTATATTTTCCTGCGGACAAATTCTTTGCAGGTGGCCCACATTGAAAGAAATTAATGGGTCAATAGAAGTGGGACGTAATTGAAAAAAAAATCTAAACAGTTTTCGCAATGAAAAAAAACCTTACCTCTGAGGATGGGAAGCAACGGGCGGTGTGCGCGCGCATGTGCCAGCCTCACAAGAACGGTTTGAAGTGTTCTGGCAAGACTAGCTCGCGCACAGCCCAGCAGCTTCCCGCGCTGAAAGCAATAAACTCCAACTTATGTTTGGTTTGTAAATTACGACACGATTGATTTTCTGGTTATATTGTAGCGGTTTCGCAACTTGAGACGTTATGATCGATAATATTAACAATACAAAAAAGGATATTGCAGTGATCGAGAGGATACAGACGGCAACTAAAATGATTGAGGGGATGGAGGGACTGGCCGATGAGAAGCGATCAGGTAAACTGGGTATGTCCACACTGGAGCAGGTTGAGGGACAACAGGATTACAATCTAAGATTCTAACAGGACTAGATAACGTAGACCATGATAAGCTGCTTGTACTGAATAGTAGAACCAGGGGACATGGTCTGCAATTGAAGTGGGTGGGTGGGGGGGGGGGAGAGAATTCAGAACAAATCTGTAGAAACACTAGTTCAGTGAGCGAGTAGTGAATGTGTGGAACAGGCTCCCGAGGGAGACGGTAGAAGCAGAAAATGTTGATTCTTTCAAGAACACATTAGATAGATTTCTGTTAGGAAATAAAATCTCAGGTTACAATATATAGTTATATTATATATATATATAGGGACACGACATGTCATGCGACTGCCAGAATGGTGGAAGATGAACGGGATGGACCTTGGTCTTTTTTGGCCAAGCAATTTCTTATGTATGCTACGTTATCTTAAAAGAGAGACTTTTTTAAAAAAAAATCCATACTAACTTTCCTCGGCCCATACTGGATGATGTATCAAGATTGATCTGCTCCGGTCTTCCAGTCCCAAGATCCCTCTTATTGTAACCTGTGTTATTATGGATCCGCGGCCTGTTGGGTCCTGCCGGTCGCATTTGTGGACTTCGAACGCCATTCAACAGACGATCAGCGGAAAAATTAAATATTGCGGGGCTCTCCAGTAGGCCTGGCCCACGGTCTGTGTTCGGCAGTGTCGGCCGCAGGTGGGATTTACTGTGGTTCCTAAAACCCAAAAACAAAATTGTATGCTAGAGTAGAAATCATTTTTATTTTATTAAAAGAAAACCACACTTGGCGTTTCACGAATTATCAAAGGCTTCACAGAATATACTGTAAAGTGGATTGCCTGTGTATTTGTGGGTGAAACGTGGCAGACAATTGCGTACAGCAGTGTCCCACAAACAGTCGTGGATTGAGTGACAAAATTATTATAAATAAGGCCATAGGAACTGGAGACCATTCAGTCCATGAAGCCAGTTCATCGAAGGTCATCGAATTTTACAGCACGTGTCCGATCTTAACAAAATCACAGATAATTACATTTGATTTTGAACCATATATTGAACAATCCCAAAGAGCTTCAAACAATGTGTTGCTTTGAAGTGCAGTGGAACAACAGCTAGTCCACACCAGCAACTTCCACAAACAATGAAATGAGTGACCCATTCATCCACTTTGGTGAATTTGACTGAGTGAGCCAAACTGTCTTTAATTTATCCAACTGATGCATAACACATTATAGGCAAAAGCAACAAAACCAGAATCCCTCTCTTCCCTCCCCCACCCACCATTCCCTATCCCCCTGACGGAAACTAATATTATCACTGCCCATCATAAACATTTATCACTTTTCTCCTTTTAGGTTCTTTAATCCAGAAACAGGCAAAAATGCATCCATCAAAGTTTCATGTATTAGTGCTTTAAATAATTCAATAAACCCCAACTCTTTCTCTCTCTCTGCCCACTTCATGATGAAATCCGCGTTGCGTACCACATTGTATTTGAAGTTTTAAATTTACGTACCAAACATCGTACCTGTTTCTGGGATTATAGTGTCTGAGTGTAGTCAAGGGGGCTGCAGCAGATTTGAAGTTTGGAGCTGTGGTAAATCCATTGATGAAACCTGCACTTGGAAATGGAGATACCTACAAAGAAACAAAAATGACACGTTGCACACCGAATGTAATATTCAATATACACAACTTAAACTATACAGCGAAAGACAAGGCTACAATTTTGGAACCTTTATTGCACAAGTTCCAGGGATATTTGGGATGTCTGGAAGGAACCCCTGCCAGCAACAAGTAAAATTTAAGGATAATGCGTCATCACTGTGTTCACGAATGCGGCAAAATAAATTGAAGGTTTGGAGTGAAATGTGGACCAGTCTATCAGGAAAGCAACTAGATAATGAGTTGCAAATCTTAACTTGGAGCCAGGATTATATTTCAGACTAAATGTTCTCCTTGATTACACACACAAAAATAATGTGTAATGCAGTGATGCAGCATGAATCAAAGAGTTAGACTAACATTCAAAATGGAGAAACAGTTTAACAGCTTTCATCGGATAATTTTGATGTTCACAGTTCAGGGGCCCTAAAGGCTGCAGCAGTGCTTTTGAAAAATTTAAGCATCTCTAATACATGTATTGGAATTCTTTGAAGAGGTGGGGAATTAATGGATATAATAACCTGCATTTGGCAAAGGTGTTGACAAGTATTCAATACATAAGATTTTTAATTCCATAGCCTTCGTCTTTAAATTGCATTCAAATTGTTTGGCTTAACAGGAAGCAACAGGGAATAGGGAAAAAAGCTACAGTCGTAAATAGAAGGGTCTGCTCTTGATTCCATACCCTGAAGCAGAACCAAAATTGGCTCCCATGGATAATCACAGTTCCAATTAGTAATCATATACAGGAAACACATTATAGCAAAACCACATTAGAGCACTCCTGTGTATAAAGCAGCCTTGCTAATGGCACGGGCCAACCGTGGAGCTAAACTAACCAGGAAGTGAAACGCCCACTTCTGGCTCGGACTGGTCTGCTTCCAGCACTTAAAAAAAGGTTGACATCAGGTCAGCACCGATTCCACTTCCTGTGGAATGCACATTTGTACTTTTAGCCCCAATGATGTCACTTTGCAAAGCTGGAAGCATCAGTAGCAACCTAACAACCAACAAATCAGACATTTTTCTCAAGTTAGTTTGTAAAACAGCCTCTGGACGTTTGAATCTAGAAGACCATGTTTCATGAAGTTCTCTGTACAATTCCTGATCAATAAGATTAAAATGAACCTGAACACCAAACTGCCAATTAGGCTTAGGTGTTATTATACAAAACAAACTTACATTGCTTGAGGGATAACCTTACAACACATTTTCTAAAAACTTGTATACGGTTGCTTAAATGCTATTATAATACTTTATAGTACCTACTTAAACTGCACCAAACCGTGGACACCACAAGGGACTTGACGATATAACATTAATGAATTATCTGGCAATTAATTACAATTGAGAATGATATGATTATAAGAATTTGCTTCTAAGTTGAAAGGAATAGAAGTACAAATAGGAGCCTAGAGAAGAATACAGCAAAGTATGCTAAATGATATTCCAGTATATCTAAAGAAATAAATGAGGAAATTCAAACTCAGATAATCTTAATGATGAGATTAATGGCAAAAACAGCTGATATATTAACCAGGTATTTTCTAGACTTAGTCGTTGAAGAAGATCAAATTGTACAAACATTTCTGAAGTACATCTTTGTATGATTTCGAAGCGTGCCGGAGGTACTTGATAGATGGTGGAGATCAACAAATCCTTTGCACTAGATGCTATACAACCTAAGCTATGGGATAGCAACGATGACTTGCATTTATATGGTGCCTTCACCCGGGGTGGTGTCTCAGAGCACTCGACAGTGACGGAGCTTGACCCTGAGCTGGGGAGATGTGGCCCAAGGCGCTGTCGAAGAAGATCTTCAGGTGCGGTTTGAAGACGGGCAAGGCAGAGGGAATGAGGCAGAGTTCCATAGCTTTGGAGAGGATGAGGGACATGCAGTTCAGATTTTCAGAGAGCAGACAAAATTCCATTAAGGCCCTCGTGAATCCAAGGAAGGGCGTGAGAACGGATAAGAAATTGATATAAAATAGGAGTACTCCTGAAAGGTGGAATGTCAGACATGAGGTATACCTTATGAGACTGTGTTGTACACGGGTAGAAAAAAAAATTGATGCTTTAGTAATAATATACAATAAATTGAATACAGATTTGGTTTGGAAGCGCTTTCACCTCTTTGCTTCATGAAAAGCTATTTTACCTTCGAGAACTGAAGTTGATTGTTGAATTATTTTCAATATTAGGCACTGCTACATATGAAAAGTTAAGAAACTCTAGATTCTTAGTTTTGAGCAGCTTGCAAAGCTTTCCCTTGCGTGCATGTAAAAGTGGTCAGATGATATCAGTGCCAACACCTGATTTCATTAGGAATCAAACGGAATGGCACCTGTTCACCCTTACATGGGAGATAAATACACCCTTGCCAGAAAGTCTACCATTTACTAAGATGACGATACAGGTCATTGCAATTTCCCCAAAACACCCCCTGTTGGTGGCGGTTCAGAGCAGGTTTTGCTTGTGTGCAAAGGCTACCTACTATTGGAGGTGAAAATAGTACACAGAATGGTGTACACAGAGCTAAAGCCCAAGGAAACAGAACAATGGAAGATAAAAATGTTCCACTGGCTGATTCACCAACCGAACACCCATTTTCTCTTAACCTTTCATGTGATTTTTGACTTCAAATGCCGCCAGGAACGTTCAAGCAAAGGACAACTGGCGAGCTTGTTGGTATTCACGTCTCAACGTTCATAAACTTGCATTCTTCTAAAAGGCTGTGTAAGCACAGTTGATCCCAAAGCCTCAACTCTATTTCGATTGCTTCACGTGGTTCCCGATTGCGATTTATGTCTTTAAGATTACCAGCGCACCAATTTAGCTAACCTTCAACCTTCGAGAGGATTCAATTTCCTTTTTTTTAAAAAAAAAGCAGGAAATATGAAAGTATGACAAACATTAATTTAAAAATTAGTCTAGGCTCCAACGTGCTTACCATCAAATGGTAGGACACTGGTTCGAACCGATTCCCCCACATGGTGAATTCCCAATCTCAGCTGTGCTCTTGGGGAGGTGCTGTGCAGAGGCCAGTCACTTCCTCACAAGGAAGAAAGGGAAGAAAAAAAAGACAAGTCATCCAGGACTAATCTCATGCACCTCCAAACAGGTGGTTACAGAGTGGCATTGGCAGAGACCTGGGAGCAAGTTTCCTGCCTGACCGCTCAGCTGAGAAATAGTGAATGTTATGAAACCAAAAAAAAAGGAGGAAAACAAAATAACTTTCTCCCTCAAGAAACGCTGGAAATAAAAAATAGTTGACATGGGAGAGTAGTGGGTGTGTGCGTACATGTATGCATGTTTAGCCTTCCTAACAATGGGACACAACCTTTATGAAGATTGCCAGGGGCTATCTTTGTTCTTGCACGAATCACATGAAGCAAATGAAATGTTCATGGAAGTAGAAATTACGGGACCTCGAATCGTGGAAGAAATATTAAATTGATGGGTGTCACAAATGCGCTTCGAATCGTAGTTGCACAACCATTTAAAAGTTAAGAGAATATGAAAGCACCTAAATTTTCAGCCGTTTTCAGTTCAATAGGCTCCAATCTGGCAAAAAAAAAACAAATCCAACAGTTTCTCACAATTTCCAGCCTGTGACTTTACCGCAAGAGCGATTTTCTACTGGCAAAGATTTACCCATCAAAACATTTCCACGCACGAAGCACTCACCAATGTTGGATCCAGGTAGCTGTGTGCTGCAGACCAAGACTGAGGAGTCAGAAGGCTATAAAGTGGAAATTGCTGTTGGGGGCTGTAGATAGGAGGTACATAAAACGACGTGTACCGTTGCTGAGTGTACAGGTTCATATCAATCGGTCTGTAACCATTCTTTGGCAGGAAGGTGTTGATAGCCATTGGCTTTGCTTTTATCCTTGCCTGTAAGAAATGTCCCAGTCACCAATGAGTTCATGTCACAAACGTCCAAACAAAATGTTGAATCGTTTTAAAAGTGTTACCTTTATAGGCCGTCCCTGGAAGGTTTTCACTTCTTCACGAAGGTACCTATAAGCCTGAACAAAAACCCACACAAGAAGCCATCAACCACAGGTCGCTGTGTTTTTTTTTAAGATTTAAAATACAAGTTTTGTTGTAAACTTAAAATCAAAAGGCACAAAGTATATTCATTGCATTTACAGGTCTCGCCCCAAATTAAAAAACAGTTAAAATAAAATCCTGCTTCTCTAGCCCCTAATTGCTTTGTACCGAGGTGCTACAAGGGATTTCTCTCCTCTTATACTTAGAAACATATATCCACCATCACAACTCAATTCCTAAAATTGAAAGAGCAAGAAACTACCATGTCCTGGGGTAAATGATCAACTCAAGTCAACGTGCATTAAAAGAAAATAAGGTATATTGCTTGAATTACCATGACATAGTGTAGAACCTCTCAATTTAGAGCTCTTCATCCCTAAACACACCATTGTTCTTTTCTCAACCATTTCCAACCATTTGATATTCTTTTTGAAGGTAGCGTGCTCGCAACTGCACAATATTCTACATGCGGCTTCTGATGTCAAAAATGTTACCTAGTATTTCAAAGGTTTGATAACTGATCATGCTGACAGGAAACATAAAAATAGCAACAATGGGGCTATTCAGGCTTCGAGCCTATTCCACCAATTTAGTAGACCGTGCCGAGTGGTGGTGGGGGGGTCCAACCTTCTGGCTGCTGAGGGCTGGATTTTGGATTTAAGAAATGCCCGCAGGCCACAGAAGCAATATTTTTTCCTGATTGTCCAGTCCTGTTGCCTGGCAGAGCCTGAGCCCGCCCGACTGCCGATCAGCTCAGGGCCTGCGCGACGCCTGTATTTGAGGACAATGAACTTGAGAATGTTTCGTGGGCTGGGTGTAATCATCCCCAGGGCCGCAATGCGGCCCACGGGCCGCCAGTTGGGAGCACGTCGACCTTGCCAAATCTTTTCATCCCAATGCCCCGCCTTTTCGCCATAACTTTACCACCCAAGTATCTGTCTTGCTTTCAGATATCCGTGTGGATTGCTTCTCTACAGCATTGTGGTGTAGAGCATTCCGCATCTTGGCAACCCTCCATGTGAAGGAATGTGGCCTGAGCTCAGTTCTAACCATCTTTGTTCTGATTTCAAGGCAATGTCCCTTGTAATGGAAGCATTGAGTAAATGACAATCAGCTACACATTCATTAGCTTTGCTCACACTCTTAGACAGCAATCTATTCCTCAAGTCAAGCTACCAGAATTTGTTACAGCAGTTTTTTTTTGCAGTCTCTATTTTACGCTAAAAGTTGCAACTAACAAAGAAAATTGCATTTTTTAAAAAAAGTGCAGATCAAAAAATATTAAGTTCCAGAATTTAGTGCCATACTGAAAGCTTTTCTAGAAACTACGCGACAAAATTTCTGTATATATATCAAATTGGAATTCCCCAAACCTTAATATAAACGAGCTTTACCTGCTGCGCATCTGCCTCCGATTCAAAGGTGATAAACCAGTTGTCGTTGTAGGCAAACTCACAGCTCATGAACTTTGGAAAATTTTCCCCTTTGAAGAGTGCTTCCACCTCCTGAAGATAAACAGTGCTAATTAATGCTGAAAATGTTCCAAATAAGCAAAATTTTCATTTATTTGAACCTTTTGAAATAATAAATAATTTCTCCTTCCCTAGAGGAAAGTAGAAATACCAGTTGTTGGTTATTTGCACAATTACATTGGTCATCCTTCAAATCCTTATAAAATGCAGCTCTAAAGAGGTAGCTGATCCCTCCAATTTTCCCTCTATGGGAAAAGGATCTTCACTGAGAACCTCTGTATGCCGAGATGGGGAACTCACTCCAGGGTGGATCTACCTTTATTCGGTACATGTTAAAGGCCTAACCTACTGCACCAGCAGTATCGTATTTCAAGCTATGATATGGCAGCTGTAGAGGTTGCTGTTTTTTTTCCTCAACTAGCAGTAAACTGAAGGCTACCGACAAAACATTTTACAATTAACAGATGTACCGGGGAGAGGGAGTTACAGAGTGTGGGGGCAGAGAGGCTGAAAGCCCGACCACCGATGGTAGGCTGGGGCGGGCGGGAGACATGGAGCAGGCCGGAGCCCGCTGAACGGAGTGAGTGGGCAGGTTGGTAGGGAGTCAGCAGGTCGGAGAGGTAGGAGGTGGGGGCAAGGCCACGGATGGCCTTGAAAGTGAGGACGAAGATCTTGAATTCAACACAACACCATCATAACAGGTTAATCAGCCACTACGCCCCGAAACTCTGTAACACTCTCCCTCAGTCGCTCCGCCTCGCCCCCTCTCTCCCCCTTTCAAAGTCCTGACTGAAAACCTTCCGTTTCAACCGCGCTTACGGTCACCACCCCCACATGGAGTCATGAGACGCTACCCTGCGTGGAGGGCGCTATATAAATGCAGGTTATTGTGGTTGTTACGCTTCACATTTTACATTTCGTCGGGCAACGTAGATTTCAACAAAAAAGCCTCTTAAGAGTTGAGTTCAGCAGCAAGCAAAGCAAGCAAACGATGCTAAAAGTCAAATGTTTTACAGTGCTGAAACTTACGGGACAGCTTTTTTTAAAAAAAAATCAATTATGATTAACAAACAAAATGAAAACAAGAACCTTAATACATTAAATGGGGCATGACGTTGAATATTGATTTGGAGTTAGGGTGCCGACCTGGGAATTCACTCCCTTATCAGCAGAGGACCAGCATAACCCTAGGATGATTCAGCATCAATTATGCATACTATTCAATATTCTTAAGGAAACATATCACTAACCATCCCAAGCCCTGAAGCCACGATTTCAAATTTAGATAAATGTTGATTGATACAACGTACACTTAGACAGAGCCTTTCATGTCAGGAAAACATCCCAAAGAGGCATTTTGAAACATTTACATCAGTACTTTGCCCGACCACTGCGGTAACCTGGCTTCATGTTTTGATATTTGAGATGACTGCACCGTATTCAAGATTACTTAAGATGTTAGTTTAGATAATGCCACAAGCTAACCAGGAATGCTATAGATTTACCATGAGGTAATGCGGTGTCTACGGATGGGATATACATCAGTTCAACCAAACTATCTTTTCATATAAATTGGACTACAGGCTTCTCTTTGAAGAATAATGCCTTAAGCAATCTAATCTTTCATTGAGGATGACTTTGTAGGTTGATGTCTAACGAGCTCAACAGCATCAATATCTGCCCCCGGATGCAATGGCACTCAAAGCCAGCTTCAAATGAAGCAAAACTCAGGGATAAAAACCTGAAGGGTGGAGATGAACACTGGTTTGGCACAATTGGTTATAATAATAATCCTTGCATTTGATATAGCGCCTTATCACGTCTTCGAAACATCTCAAAGCGCTTCTCAGAATATACTGTGAAGTTAATTGACGGTATATTTTTGTGAAATACAATCCTGGTTAGTGCTAAGAATAATGTAATGAAGAAATCAGGATGTGGCCTAAAATGTAATCCCAAGTAATAACAAATTACATTTAGATAGCGTCTTCCACGTCGGAAGTATGTCCCACGATTCTGGACACTCACTTTTAAAGCCCTCCACGGGCATGCTCTTCCCTACTTCTGCTAGTTATGAACACAATAACCTATCCATTCCGTCTGCTCAGCCGGCACTGGCCAATTTGCACGCAGCCAGGTATTTTGTAAACAAACTGACTCCAAGGATCTGACTAAATATCAAACAGACGAAACATTTCCAAGGAAAGGTAGAAGTTACAACTCTGTGCTAATGCGGGAGAAACAGCTTGATGCAGTAATGGGAGGGCAATGGGAATTGTTAACCTGAAACAAATAGACCCGAATGCCTTCTTGATCCGAACATTTTTGGGACTGTGTGAAAATACGACGGACTCAATTCACCTTTGTGCCAATGGAATCAATTTGGGGGGCATGAAGGAGAGGTAAGGAGAAATAAAAGTAGAGATCTTATTTTTCCAAGACATCTGCAGCCATAAAGGATAACAGCTGCATTTTTCGAGAATTAGATCTTTGTTGTGTATTGGTGTTGCCTTTTGCACACCCCAAGGACCCTAGAACAAGCGAGTTAATTGTTCTGCTTGTTGCTAGGTACTGCAATCCTATCCTGTGGCACTGAGCAGAAGCTGTTCCTCTGTGTACGGAGATATTAGTTTAGAATATGCTTCAGTCAGAATACATTATATATTTTTCCTCCAGTGTTCACAGGCATATGAGAAACATCAACCTTTCTGGCCTCCTGCATACTCATCAAATCACCAGTTGCCAACAGCCTTGTTCGAGTTCCTGGATTATTCTGTTTATGCACATAATTTTATTCACTTTTTGTAGATTTATAGTTCTCCATGTTGAGACATTCCATTTTGAAAGTTTAAAAACATAATTCCTGGTCTTGTATTTGACTGAAAATAACGCACGTAAATAATTATTGTACTAATTGCTGGGTGCAATTACTTGTGTGTTCAACTCATTTCTCAAAGCTTACCTCAATCGGTGTTGATTCTGGTACCTCTCGTAAAATTACGATGCAGCGATTTTGATTTGGTCTGACCTTTTCCCCCTTCTCATCCACTTGAACCAAAGGCAATGCTAAACAACAAGACGTATGAGTCAACGACAACATTTTAAAACATTGAGGAAAAAACTTGTTGGATTTTAAAAGACACGCACTTACATTTCAAAACGTCAACAATCAGGTCCATATCCGTACTCAGTTTTTTCACGTGGTCTAGGTTTGCTACTGTCAGTATTGGCACATACTGGTCACTGTCCATTTGGGAAACTAGGTACATGTCGTTGGCCAGGTTTTCTCTGCAAAACACAAATTAAATTCATCAATACAAATGACAAACATCAACGCTGGCTCTCAACCGTATTGTAAAGCTCAGTATTAGCTTAGCATTAGCTCTTTAGGTTATGTTCTTAGCTTGATGTTGCCCAAATACTGACAAGAATTGGTTTCATAATTAAAATCAAATAGAAAATACGGTGTAGAGAGAACACACCACCATCCCGCCAATCCAAATGAGAGTGTTGGGCACGTAAACACGTAATCACTGTTTCTAACAATTGGGAACACAGAACATAATAGCTTTAATTAAAGCTGTTGAAAAGATCATTGTACCAATCAATCCAAAAACTTGCACCTAACATCAAACATGAGAGCGCAGGTGAGATTAGAGAAGCCGGGTCTGTTCACAATGGAGCAGAGACGGTTGAGGGGAGACTTGATTGAAGTGCACAAAATCATGAGGGCTTTTGTTAGGGTAAATAGAAGTTATCTCCATTGATAGGCGAGTCAGTAACGTGGGACCATAGTTATAAGATAGATGCATAGCCACAAGAGTAGCGAAAGGAGAACTTAGGAGGAATTTTTTTTCACCCATGGAGTAGTTGGGATGTAGAATGTCCTGCCGCGGAACAACAAAAACAACAAGATTGCATTTATAAAGTGCCTTTCACGTCGGGAGGACGTCCCAAGGCACTGGAAGGTGGTGGAGACGGAGTCCGATGTAACTTTAAAAGTGAAGCAGATAGGCATATGAAACATTGGCTTGAAGAGATACGGGAATGTTCCGGCTTTGGCATTGAAGTGATCTTCCTGCTCAGTGAGACCGAATGGCCTCCTTCAGCACTGTACTAAGTTCCTATCCCAATGTGAAAATAAGTTACCAAAAATGTGTCAACAGCTTTCAGAAAACTATCATTCTGACTTACCGAGATAAACAGAATTCCAATGTCTTTTTCAGCAATTCTCGAAGATCTTCATGGCCAACAGTCTGCTGTTCCAAAGGAGTCTGATCACCTCCTCCTAACAGATCCAAAAAAGAAACCAAATTTTTGCAGGGAAAACAGGCATTGAGTTCTCAAGCATGAATGCAATGCAACCCATTACCCCCTTTCAAATCCACGACTTTGAATAAAGATGCAATTCCCCCTAGTAACTCTTACATTGCTTACGGTAGACAAACTGGACAAAAAAATAGGCCAGGTGCTACAATTAAAATTGTTTTAAGAAATTATTTTTTGGATTTGTATCTGAAACCCAAATGGAACTGTAAGATTTGTAAGCTGGCGATCTTGCCCAAGTGGATCTCACAACTTGTCCTGCAAGCTGACAAAGTCCAGTGTACTCCTATGACAATCCAGCAAAATGACTGCAAAATTGAGTTGGTTCGCGCAAAGATGAACTATGAAGTTATAACATTTTAAATAGAATGGAATGATGTAGAACTGAGTACGCATCCAAGACGATATCTTGAATAATATCTGTATATAAACGATAAAATTCTTAATTATCTTCCATGCCCAATAAAGTGATTATCCTACGGCTGGAGGGGGCGGGGGTGGAGAGAGAAGGCGGGAGGTAACAGATGTGCTTCGCAGAGGAATGTCAGAATCAAGAGCATCCAGTCTGGCTTATCAGCAGGACTTGGCTTCGGAACAGAGACTCTTCCCACTCAGCTCCAGTTTACCTTACAAGCCAAATCCTGAACAGATGGCACAGTCCTAGCTGGACAACTCGTGGGAATCTTGCCAGACAGTGCTCTCAATGGCAAACTATGCAGCTTTAGCTGGTTGAATTTGAGCAATTCTCCAACACTTTGACTCTCACCAACCTGAACCTAATGCTCGCCAGTATTAAGCCAGCAGGGAAAATTTCTGCATTCCATTCCAGACGGTGAAATTTCCACATGTAGGTGGCGTACATATGTGGGATTCACAGTGTGGGTTGGATACCCTTAAGCATGGTGACTATTTCCACTGGTTAGACACGTGGCTAGCCCCAAAAAGGCCCTCTTTTACCAAGATTTAGTTTTTCACATCTGTGTTGTTATATTATTATTCAAAGATACAACAACTAATAAAAATAGCAGACTGTGTTTATTTGCATCAACAACAAACAATAATCTCCCTACGACAATAGTTATATTGGATGCTGGATTTAAAATGATACTCAAACCAAGTCCACTTCCTTATTTAAACAGAATTTACTTTTTTGGCCGTGTTTTTTTGGGGGCAAAACTGCCCATCAGACCACAGTTTGCCTGACATACAAATGGGGGAAAGAAAAGCAAATAAAAAGCACCAAACTCAAAATTTTCTAAACGTTAAAATTAGTGATTCATTCTGGAATGACTGGACACGTTACAAAGCCTTATTTTTCAATTGATGTGTACGAGTCAAAATACTTTACAAAACATTTAACTGATATCAAATATCAGCTAACTGTGGAACTGAAGATTAATAATATTTTGAGAAAGACTGCAATATATTGTTTTCAGAATACCTCTCTCCCGCCACAAAATATCTCTGAAGACTGCACAAAGCAATAATGGCTACTATGATGGTGACATTTTGTTTGTTAATTGCACAATACTGTAGATATAATGCATGTCTTGTGTTCTGAAAGATTTATCTGATAGATATCAAAAGAGGAAGTCCCTCTGAAAGTGAGGATACAACTAAATTAACCGTCATTGTGTGAGGCACTTTTGGGCAGGAAGTATCTTAGGAACAGGAGTAGCCCTCAAGCCTGTTCCGTTATTCTCTCGGATCATGGCTGATCTGTACTTCAACTCCGAATACTCGCCTTTACCCCGCAATGCCCTTCACTTATAAAAAAAAATCTATCTACCTAAGTCTTGAAAACTGTAGCCCAGTACAGATCAGTATTTTAAGATGGGGGGAAGAGAAAGACCAAATAACCAATTTCAATATTTCATTCATTTCAATAATGTCTCCTCCCCTCCCAGCTTCTTCTAGGCAGCAAAGCTCACGTTTCTTCAATTTTACCTCATTCCCTAAACATGTGGCATCAGACTTATTGCTCTTTGCACATTTTTTGCAGTGCATTTATAGCTTGCCGATTAAAATGTATTGAGTGTACTTGGCGAAATCTAGACCACAGGGTCAAGATCTACCTGTCTGCTTGGTTCCATGCATCGTCTCGTATTCTGAAAAACTAGAGTCAGGACATTGAAGTGTCACAACGTTCGGGTCTGGAGGCTCAGTGGGAGAAACGATCAAGGTGGGCTCCTGTGACGGACTCTGGAAGGACTTGTCAGCATCACCAATGGCTTCAAATCCTGAAATCACATTGAAGTGTATTATAATTTAAAAATATATAAATTATCTATTCATTTATGCTTTACGCTACATTATTCCAGACACCCACGATGGAGTGTATGCTCAACAGCTCACAAACCAAGATGTACACACTTTGGCTCACTACAGGGGCAACTTGAGCCCCCCCCCCTCCACCCCCACCCCATTCAAAGAATGGAGTCCTGTAGCTCAGTGGTTAGAACACTCGCCTTGCAAGCGAGAGGACCTGGGTTCGATTCCTAGGCAGGGCGAATGATAGGGCAAGTTTCCTTACTCCACACGCCTCTCTTTATTAGCAATAAGTAGGAACACGGTTGTTAAGTCAACAACAGGCAGATTGCTTTCCTGGGGGTAATAATCCCTTAAAAAGAAATTGGGTCACTAAATCCATGACTGTTTGTGGCACGCTGCTGTGTGCAATTGGCTGCCGTGTTTCACCACACAAAATAGTCAATTCACTTTACAGTCTATTATGTGAAGCGTTTTGAGACGTTTCGAAGACATGATAAGGCACTATATCAAATGTAAGGATTATTATCATCATTAAGAACACTCTAACAAACTGCACCATGGAGGAGACGCTCGCTGTCTGTACCCAATCCTCCCTACAGCTAAACTACACTGTGTTGTAGCAGCAGGTTGCCAATTATGTTACAGTCTCAGAATCTATTGCAGAGTACCTATTCCATTCAGTGATAAAAAAATCCTAGAAAATATTTGGCTTTGCGGATTTGAGTAGGATCTTTGGTTGAGCCATGCTCTCACGAATGACTCGGTTCGATTTCTGGGCGGAGCAAAACCTTAGACAAGTTTCCTTACTCCTGCTTAAGCATTACCAAGGGCAGCTCGTGCTCTCAATTTCCGAAAGGCTCCAGCATAATATTTTCCTGGTAATATCTGAAGCTTCAATTGGGCAGGAGAATGAGGACACGGCAACTATTTTTATATAGGACAAACCATTATTTATAATCCATTAATCCCCAATACCCATTCATACTGATCTCTAATTCTACGTTAAACATAGCCGTGTAACATTCTAGCCAGACTTTTGAATGTGGGATGTTACGCTGATCGCACAAGGACAGACCGGCCACATTTTTATTTTATTGTCAACTAGAATTAGGATTTTACAGTGCCAAGATGCACAAAAGCAACTCACTGTAGGTCGCATCTTTAATCTGCAATCTACAGTCACCCAGTCATATTGATTTAAATTGACGTTTGTTCTATCTAGAATCAATACACAATGCCAGGAATCGAAGACAGCCTTGAAAAGGGCTGGTTCAAAATAGTTGCCTCATGAACCATTGATCAGAAGACAGACTAAAGTGTGTACTTTATAATTTATAGCATATTGTCACATTTACATCCAATATAAATTCTACATGTATGATAAATTATATACATTACATCCAAAGTGGTTATCACACTTCACAATATTCCCTGTAACACTCGTTTCCTCCCATTGTTAAAGGTGTTATACCCAGTACAAGGATTATTATATACACAACAGTTACAAGTAACTAATTACCACTCTGAATCACTCTAGTAATAAGGGGAAGGGGAAGAACAAAGTAAAATAATTTCTTCCTTCCAAAAAAACATAATAAATTGGTCACTCAATCCACGACCGTTTGTGGGACACTTCTGTGCTCAATTTTGCTTTTCCCCCACACAGAAATATATACAGTCAATCTATATTAGGGTATATTCGGTGAAGCGCTTTGAGATGTCTCGAAGGTGTGATCAGGCCTCTATAGCAAATGCTAGGATTATTATTTTTTAATTAAATTCACAGGACATACATACCCTCTGAGCAGGTGTCAGGAGTTGCCAATGGTTCTTCCCATGTCTCACAGGCATTGCTAGCAGCAGCATCAAGATTTAGCACGTGATTTGCCCATACCTTGGCATTAGGATTCAAATCAGAAACCTTGGCCGAGTCCTGCAAAAACAGAAAACTGTTAATGTGCATTTAAAACTTTTGCTGTTATTAAAGACCAATGCATCTGCAGCATTTCTCAACAAAAAAAGTAAAACCTTTTACATGAACCTTTTTTTAAAAAAAAAATTGGTCAGCCGGGTCTTTGACGCATACAGAAACCCATCACCGTGCTTAAGAGTATCCAAACCAAACTGAGAATTCCACGCATCCCACCGACACATGGAAACTCCAAAGATAACCCTAGATTAATATAGGCTCTATAGTCTCAGAAAAAGTGCTTGAACTGCTTGCTTGCCTGACGATGCAACATGAACATCTGAACCATTTTTCTCATAACATTCACCTTCAAATACAATACATTTCGCAACCATGATAGCAAGCTATCAATTTCTAACTGCCACCCATCTCCTTATATAAGAAATAAAATGTTTAGGAGCTTTCTTGTGATTAGTGGAGTCCCGTAGCGTAATGGTTAGCACGCTCGCCTCGCAAGCAAGAGGACCTTGGTTTGATTCCTGAGCGGGGGGGGGGGGAACCTCAGGCAAGTTCCCTTACTCCACACGCCTCCGTTTACCCAGCAGTAAGTAGGAACCCGGTTGCTCATCGATTGGCAGACTGCTTTTCGAGGGTTATAATCTCTCCCCCATCCCCAAAGAGAAAAGGAATTGGTCACTCAATTCACGACTGTTTGTGGGACACTGCTGTGTGGAAGTGGCTGCTGCCTTGTTGCCCACAAATACCCAGTCAATTCAGTTTACAACATATTCTGTGAAGCACTTCGAGATGTCACGGCGACGTGATAAGGTGCTATACCAAATGCAAGGAATATTATTATCATAACTCCATGTCTCATTGTTTCTTCTTCCAGGAGACCACAATAGTCAATTGTTGTACTCCCACCTATCAATCTCACTAAAGTGCAGACTAGTCTAGGAAACCCATTTACCAACAGGAAATGTGTGGTGAGCAAGCCTCACCCCAAACACGTCACTGCAACATCAGAAATAGAAAATACAGTTGACACAATGGACAATATTGATGTGTAAATTTCTACCAAGATAACAAAGATTCATTGTTTTCATATACACCAGGGTAATAGTCACGTAAAATGTTGTACTCCATCATGGAGTTAGTCAAACTGCGCAGTAAATTACTTTACACACACNAAAAAATCTAGCAGTTAAAAGAGTAATGCAATTCTGATTCCATGTTGATTTCTATTTCTAAAGTGCACTTAGTTCAAATAATATTTGAAGCGATTAAGTTTGGGATTGGTCATCCACAAATGAAATCACAAAACATCTTAAATAAAGCGCTGAGCAGAAAAGGCAAACCAGCATTGACATTTTTTAAAATGGCAAAAAGCCCAAATCAGATTTAAACCAGAGTTAAGAGATACTCACAGTCTGGTCATATTCATTAATCCATCCCCAAACATCACTGGTTTCGGAGAGGGAAAGTGGGTAGGGATATATTCCCATAAGAGCTACTGAAGTGTCAACATTCTTTGATACCGATTCTTGGGTTACACCCATTTGTTGTAGGTTGACCTCTTTCATAATTTCAGAGAAGCAGGTATTCCACAAACAGCTTGGCTGGTCGACTGAATCAGTCTTCAGCTGTTCAGAAAATGTATGCATAGATCTATCTTTGGCCACGGTATCAAAAACTTGATTGACTGCCCACGATGGGGCTATTTCACTTTGTAAACCGTGTCCATCTAATTTAGGTTTGTCCCCAGACTCCCCTAAAATAACTTCCATCATCCCCATGACACATCTCTCACTATTTGTGGATGTTTCAGACAAACATCTCTCTTTTTCATCACCATCTGTGAAGTTTGAGACTTGGGGTATTTCATATGAAGGGGTTGATGCATAGCGGTCGATCTGCCTTTCATCTATAGAAAGTTCTGTGGATGTACAGAATTCAGTAGAATCATATACATCTTCTGGAGTGCTAGAAAAAGGAAAAGCCTCACCTTTTTCCAATGATACAGACGTTTTTAAACACTCAACACCCTTTTTTGAATCAGTTTTGAAGCTGCACAGACTACTACTCTTGACTGAGACCTCCATGGTTCTATCACTTGTGTCACATAGGACTTGTGGAACTTCATTTTCCATCCTGCATAGAACTGGGCACTGTGTCAACTCTGTACTAAATATTTGGTTCAAGCCTTCACTTGTCCCTTTGTTGCAGTATTCTGACAGATTCACGTTTATATTTCCGTTAATTCTGCTCTTCAGTTGTGCATTTTCCACAGTTTCAGAACCTCCAAGTGTCACTTTTTCTTCCCAATCAGGTGCGTTCTGCTCGGATACAGATTCACTGCTTTGAAGACTCTGTTCAGTTATTTCATTCAAGACCATTTCTTTCTTAAGGTCTTTCAGGCTGCCTAAATCTCCACCTGAATTGGAGCACACGTCCATATAGCTTTCCAGTACGTCAGGAATTACAGAACATTTCTGAATGGTGAAATCCTCTTCACTGCCTACTTCAGAAGTAGAATCAACAGCTAAAGCCAAAGTATCTTGGTGATCCAGTTTCACCTTATTGATGTTTGCGCCACTGTAATCGAGCTCATCTTTTCTTTGGTGATTAGTTGCGTTCGTGAACAACTTTTCAGAGTTCCACAAATTATTCAATTCATAATGGTTAGGGGCATCAGATTCTAAGGAAGCCAGGCTGGAATGGCAGTCAGTATCGGATACACCGAATGTAATACCAGTTTGCAAAACATTCTGTGTGCAAATAGCGTCAAGATTTTCCCCATCTTGGCAACTGTCGTTTTGATTCTGCAGCTGCTCAACAATGATAGAATCACTGTCATCATCAGAAGAAAGCACCCTGTCATTAGCATGTGGATCGAGTTTCAAAATCTTCACTTTGGATTCAAGCTGCTGTCGAACAGCAAATGTGGGTATCGATTCCAAATAGTCATTCAATTGGTTGCTTGGCTGCATGAAATCCAAACGTTTATCTTCTGGAGGCTCAGAGTACAAACCGTTTATACTTGCATCAAACTCAGTATTTTGTCCCCCTTTTTGGAATACATCCGTTTCAATCTGCCGATCGGCAAACTCTCCTTGATCACTGCAGTCTCTTTGCAAAGTAGTTGGCATACAAATTAAATGGTTATGAGCTCGCTCATCACAAAGAGATTGACTGAAGTAACAGCTTGAAATTCCTGTAAAGTATGAATTAGGCATCCCTTCAGCCAGGGAATTACAATGCAACGGTTGATTCAACTTCGGTGATTCTTCCAGTCCCATTACAGTTAAACCATTGGGCAGATTTTCGTCATTCGCATGATTGCATGGCGCTATCTCTTCATTGCCGTGCAGTTGTTCAGTTGAGTTCAGATCCAGCAGAGTTTTAGATTCTGAATTTTTCTCATCAAGCCTCTGTGTACAAGCATCTTTGCAAACCGTGTCAGAGGTTTCCGAATCAGCAAACATAAGTGACGGTTCGAAAACTTTTTCAACTCCAATTACAGATTTTGATGCAGGATCTGGAATTGTGGGCCTTGGAGGAGGATCAGAACATTGCAAGTGCATTCCACTGTTAGCATTCGCTCCATATATATGACAATCTCCATCGCAAAGTTTCATAACTTGTTCACTTTCTGTTGGTAAATATGCAGTCACATCTGTATCTTTAATAGTGTTATTTTGTGCAAGAGATCCCGTCGTTATCTGCCTTCCCTCACAACCAGAGTATTCTAACAACTTGCTAACATTGGAGTATTTCGAAGCATTGTCCCCTGAACTAATAAAGTTGTTCCTCTTGGACAAGCAAGTTTTCTCAGCAACTGAAGGCTCCGCAAAGTTGCCTTTCATTCCATGTTTAGGTTGGCCATTGAGAGTTTCTGTATCACGTTCAGTTGTCTCTGCAAGCAGCCGTACTACACTCAACCTGTGGTTTGACAATACAGAAGAAGCTTGCCCGTCAGTGTCCATTTCTGCGGAAACAATGCGCGGTGTCATTATGCCTGCCTCTATTTGCTCCGTTACTTCAGGCTCAACTGCCTCCCCTTGCTCAGATACAGCTGCTCTGCTTATAGGCCGTGTTGAAAAGTCCACACCATGATCGACAGACCATGTTAGGTTGTGCTTTCTCTCCACTGCAACAGCTGAACAATGCATATCTGGAACAGTGCTACAAGTAAAAGCAGGTGCACCCTCATCTAGTTCGACATCTTCTACATCTATTGTGCAGATACTGTAGAATTCATTTGGTCTGGGTTTTATATTTATTTCAGAGGCCAGATGACTGGTATCCAAGGTGTTCTCTTGCACGTTTTGCCTCCACGTTTTAATCCCTTCAATTTCCTCGGGCTTTTTATTTTTAGCAAAATGAAACTCAGTCACTAAATGACATGAAATATTTTGCTGCTGTGCGCGGGAAATCTCACCACTCGTTTGACAACTCTCCATACATTCTCCACTTGGAACTTCTTCTGGGGTTCGAAGCAGTTTCTCATTCCCAGGAGAATCACTCTCAGCAGTTGAATTAGGCATTCCTTCAGTTACGTTCTCAGCAATTTCAACCATTTCAGGATTCCCCTCCAACGGAGCAGCAGAAGTGCACAACTTTCGCCATTTACTCTTTGAGGTGCCATTCTCTGCTTTAATAGAGTATTTTCTCTTTGGCAAACCAAAGATATCCCACAGTGTCCTCTGCATATTTGATTGGGAACAGTCATTTGTAAGGAAGTAATCACTGACTTCTGCAAGATTCTCAGGGTGCTGAAAATGATCTGCATTCTGGTAAGAGCATTCATTACTTAACCAAGGCCAGACTCTCCTCCGGTTAGACTTGAGCTCTCCTTGCCCCTGGTCAGCACCAGCACATCCTCTCTTGAAAGCACGTGGAGTTTCCATCTTACTGAATTCCTTAGCTTGCTCGTCCAAGTCACTTTTTTCAATGACATCGGCACTACCGATTTGAATGCTTTCAGCTGTTTCTCTCCTCGTCTTCTGCAACAAGCTTGTTTTCTCATCGACCTGGTCAGGCACCACAGGGCCCCTCTCTTTACTGAAGCAGCAGCCCATGCTGAGTCACGACACTGCCACTACACACTGAAGCTCAGAACTTATGAAATGAACTAACTGCTCTACAGACGAGCCAACACCCAAGTACCAAAAATAGTGCTGATGAAAATCTGCGCTGAGATTCATGTGCTCCTGTCAATCAAACCTCGTTCCAGAGGTCGGTCAGGGGCAGGATTTAAGGTCGAAGGATTGGGGAGGGGCTGAGATCACTTGGCTTCACCCCTCTGTCTGCTCCCAACAAGACTGGGCTGCCAGTCAGTCAGACGGGCTGTTGGCAATGTCCAGCCTTTGACTGGCAGTCGGCTGACGATTGAGATGCCACGATTTGGGGACTGAGCTGCCAGTCAGTCAGTCAGTGGCTGAAGGCGCTTAAACAGCAATGCGATCGTGAAAAAGTACAAGTAATTGAGTCAGATCCAGCCGACTTTTTGCTGAATTTGGCCAACTTCAAAGTGATTGGGGGGGGGGGGGATTTTGAACCCTGCTGACTCTTCCTTCTGGCACTAAATTAACTTTATACTATGAAAGTTTTGCCCCAGACACTTCCCAAATGTATACTATTGGACTGGACCACTTTTGCGATGGGGAGATGAGAGAATTCCAAGTGTCCAAGTTAGAGCTACAATAGAACTACTGTACTTCGATCAATCAACTTATTTTTATTTCCGGTATCCATCTCTGATAATTCCATGTGTAGATGGGATGCATGGAATTCTCCATTTGGTTTGGATAATCTGAAGCATAGTGATGGGTTTCCACATGTGTCAGACACCCGGCTGACCAAGAAAAAAAAATTCTCTTTCAAATTATGATTTTCTGTCCTAAATAGTGTTCAGAAAACCTCGGCCAAAAAAGGCACAGCATAAAATGCATTTCAATCTCACTGGTGTTCTTCGCCAGCCAAACAGCAGCATAAGTTAATAATAATCATCATCCTCGCATTTGGTTTTGTGCCTTATTCATGTCAAGAGCTTCATGCCAAAGCTTTTCACAGAAGTTACTGAAGTGACTTTGTTTTTGTCAAGGAATGCGTCAACCAATTTGCACACAGCAATATTCCATGAACAGCCATGAAGTGAATGACCAATTTTATTTTGAGGGATTGTTGGCCAGAATAACAGGAGGAACTCCCATCTCTTTTTAAATAGTGCCATTTGATCTTTAATGTCCTCCTAAATAGGCAAACGGGACCTCGGTTTAACATCTCATCCAAAGGATGTCATCTCTGACAATGCAACACACCCTCAGGACTCCACTGGAGTGTCATCTTAGTCTACGAGTCCATGGGTCTTGAACTCACAACTTTCCGATTTAATGGACGAGACTGCTATCACTGAGCCAGGTTAACACGTGGTATCCTTTATCCTACTTCCCAATCTGTGAACTTGTGCATATTGATGGGTTTAACTCAGATGCTGAAGTTGTAATAGTATTTGTGTGTTTGAAAAATCCTAACCAGCATCATAAAGGGATTGACTGCCAGTCAGCTCGTCTGCATTCACTACACAAACCAGAAAGCTGGCCAGCAACCTGCACAACATTTGGCAGACTTCCAGACCATCGGGTTGTGACTGACAACAGTTCCTACACATTGCATCAGGCAGCAACCTGAAGACTGGAAACTAGCCTTTGTGAAAAAAAAGCACGAGAAAACAGCCAGCATTTTGAAACAAGACAGCACGATTTGAAGTGAGCCAACTACCTGGGTGCATTCTGAATGTTTCCATCCCAATTATGCTATAATCAAACACACATTATAATGCATCCCATTATAACAGGGTCTACTGTATTCACTACTCCCTATAATTTTACCTAGAAAGCTAAAGCTGTATCATCATGATGAAACCTCTGTTCAGGAAACGATGGCACAAGGATTATGGGAGAGAGTGGCTGAAGCAGAGGGGATGAGGGAACGTGCAAAAGGCTGATGGAAGGGGGTGGGAAGAAGAGTGGGGTGTACGCAGGTCAGAGGCTGGATTGGATGATTGGTGGAGCTAGCAAGACACCCGAGGAGGGTACTGGAAACAAATGCTTGGATAAAGGTTTCAGCTGCGTTGGGTATGAGGGATGGTCGGAGGCGGGTGATATGGCAGAGGCGGAAGAAAGCAGTCCTAGTCAAGGACCGGATGTGGGGGTCTTAGGACAGCGCAGACTCAACCCCACATTGCACCCAGGTTCAGTGAATCTGAGAGATACGCCAGAAGGGTGGAGCCATAGATGAGAAGACATTGACTGAAACCAAGAAGGAGCTGCAGAGGGTTGCCATTCATCCAGTCCTTACAGGCAAGTCGACAGAACACTGATGGTGTCCTGTCTAAGGTTGCGGTTAGAGAAGTAGATCTGCATATGTGTGGAAGTAGACCACAGCTGCAGATGACGTCACTGTGTCAAAAGCAGCAGAGTTTACATATGTCCTGAAGTAAGATTCCCCACATTGAATGCCGTCTTCTCTAATCCCAATTTTCTGCTCTTTTCCCCATAAATATTATTTATTTATCTAATTCTCCTTCAACTGTGGTTATGGCTCGGTTTTAACAGTCATTTTAGTAAGGCATTTAACAACCCACTGAAAAAATATTCCTAACCTTTTTTTTCTTCTGGTCATGATCCTCAAGTTACAACACTTCACTACTGGCATAGACGCGTTGCATCATTCTGTACAATCTGGACTGTGGAATCCTGTAACTCAGTGATAAGAGCACTCGCTTTGAAAGCGAGAGATCTGGGTTCAATTCCCGGTGGGGCAAAATGTTGGGCAAGTTTCCTTACTCCACATGCCTCTGTTTACCTAGCAGGAAGTAGGAACCCGGATGTTAGTTGATTGGTGGATTGCTTTTCCGGGGATAATAATTCCTTCCAAAAAAAACCTAATAAAATGGGACGCTGGTTTGCACAATTGGCTGCCGTGTTTCGCCCATACAATATATAGTCAAGTCAATTCACTTTACAATATATACTGTGAAGCACTTTGAGACGTCCCGAAGACATGATAAGCCGCTATATCAAATGCAAGGGTTACTACTATTCTATTTACCATAACAACAACCATTCATAATTTTGAAATCATTTTAGATCTCTTCCGAGTTTCCTCTAATCAGTGAAAAGGTCCCAACTTTTCTAGTATCTCCACAGAACTATAACCTGTCAGCACTGATATCATCCTAAGTTGCCATCCTTTCCATCATGAGATGCCCAAAATATAATCGTCCAATATGATCTCTTTCCTTAGTCTTCAAATTACTTCACGCCTATTAAGAATTTTAAAAACCTGGATCATGCCCCCATCTCAATCTTCCCAACAAATAAAAAGTTCTGGGTAGACATGAACCAGCTTCACCGCCCACCCCTGCACTGCCACATGCGGCATTCCTCGGGGCTCTATCCTCAGCCCTCTCCTCCTCACAATCAATGTGCTCCCACCTGGTTACAACATCCAAACTTCCATAGATGACACCCAACTATCTCACTGCCTCAACCCTCAGTTGCACTGTTCTGACGATTGCCTGTCAGACATATCAGCCTCAACATCAGACCAACAAGTTTTATATCCCCACACCGCCTTCCACACCCAAACCACAAGTGGTGGCAAACTTTTCGCCTTTCTGCCCCCGCTCACTGGAACTGCATCCTGGACTCCCTCCGATTTGCTCCCTCCCGGAGAGAACTAGAACGGACCCAAATGGCACAAACCACGCTGCAACAAAGAATGTTTTTCCTGTAACCATAAATAATTTGCCGGTCCAAAGGAAATGGACTGTAATTAATCTTTCAGCATCTTACCAGAGGGGAACTGTCTACAACTTCTTGCACTTGCTGCACCTGCGGTTCAGCCACAACTTTAGTGTCCTGGTCAGAAGTCATGAGCCGTCTGCTTTCTGGCTCTGCAGAGAGAATTTTTCTGCTCAGCAAGATCTGTGGGACAAAATACAAGCTGTTACATTTCAGAACTACAATACTAATGGAGTCCTGTAGCTCAGAGGTTAAGAGCACTCGCCTCGCAAGCGAGACCTGGGTCCAATTCCCAGGCAGGGTGAAATGTTGGGCAAGTTTCCTTACTCCACACGCCTGTTTACCTAGTAGTAAGTAGGAATCCAGTTGTTAAGTTGACTGTCGGATCATTTTTCCGGGGGTAATAATTCCTTCNAAAAAAATTGGTCACTTCAATCCACAATTGTTTGTGGGACGCTGCTGTGCGCAATGGCTGCAACGTTTCGCCCACAAAATATACAGTCAATTTGCTTTACATTATATTCTGTGAAGTACTTTGGGACATCTCGAAGACTCAATAAGGTGTTATATCAAATGCAAGGATTATCACATATTATTAATACTACATTTCAGCACGCAAACCCACCATAACAAGAAATCCAGCCCAAGTAAGATGCAGCTGTTCAATCTAATCCATATTTTTTTAAAAATACTATTTTGGGATGTCTATTCATGGCAGCGGATATATAAGATATTTACACATTTTGTTGAATACTTAATTAATAGTCGTGATTTCCATTTATGTGCTGATACGTCAAGATAAATACACAAGTCTCTAAAAGGCAAGTGGTTTAAAGCAGACAAATTCACCGTTTCCAGAATTATTCTGTAAATTTATTAGCAAAAACTCTGTTCTTCCCCCAACCCCTAAAAGATATTCCCAAAGAATTTTCCTTTGTAAGACAACGATTCGATCTAATACAATCTACATTTTACTGTTAAATGGACTTGTATGGATGACGTAGGTCAAGGGAATCTGCTTGTAGTACACAAATCCAACATGGTTATTGCAAATTGTTTATTTAGGCAAAAAAAAGCCAAAACATTAAACAGTAACTTGTAAACTGATGAATTTTGTTCTGACATCAGGTCTACTATGGCACACCTCCAGCACTCATTTCAACCATAAGCATCATCTTTAATTCTTCATCTGTGTATAGTCCTCAGATATTCTGCCCCCATCACCCCCAAAAAAATTCTGAACACAAAGGAAAAAATCTTACNAAAAAAATCTTAAAATTATTGGAAACGCATTTTGAAATTGAGTTGTCAAATCATCCCCAGATAAGTTTAGATGAAGGAGACCCATTTGATT